ACTTTAACTTTTATATATTCTATTAATTTCCTTATTTTTTAAATTATTAAAGTAAACAAATAAATAAATATATATATTATCAAATTAATCAATCAAAAAACGAAATCATTTATTTATATCAAATCTAACATAATTAATTTAAATTAATTTTTTTTACAACAAAATTTTTATATATGTATAAATTTTATTTTATCAAATCTAGCATAATTAATTAATTAACTTTTCATAATGAAATCTTTATTAATATATAAATAATTTTTTTCAGTTCAATTCATTCGAACAACTTTGGATTAATTTTGTAAATGAAAAATTACAACAATTTTTCAATCATCATATGTTTGTATTGGAGCAAGAAGAATATGCCCGAGAAGGCATTCAATGGACATTCATTGATTTTGGCTTAGATTTACAAGCCTGTATTGAATTAATTGAAAAACCATTAGGCATTCTATCAATGTTAGATGAGGAATGTATCGTACCTAAAGCAACTGATCTTACATTGGCGCAAAAGTTAAACGATCAACATTTGGGTAAACATCCAAATTTTGAAAAGCCAAAACCGCCAAAAGGAAAACAAGGTGAAGCGCATTTTGCTATGCGACATTATGCTGGTACTGTTCGATACAATGTGAGTAATTGGTTGGAAAAGAATAAAGATCCATTAAATGATACGGTTGTATCAGTTATGAAACATTCAACTGGTAATTTACTTCTCACAGAAATTTGGCAAGATTATACGACACAGGAAGAAGCTGCAGCTGCTGCTAAAGGTATTTGAATTATTTAATTTAATTAGATTAGATTTGATCAGATTTAATTTGATTAGATTTGATTTGATTGGATTAGATTTAATTAAATTAGATTTAATTTGATTTCATTTAATTTGATTTGATTTAGATTAGTTTGGATTAGATTAGATTTGATTTGATCAGATTTAATTTGATTAGATTTGATTAAATTAAAAAAAAATAACGACTACAGAATGGATTATTTTTTTTTTTTTTGTTAAATATAATGAGAAAATATATGTATATAAAAGGATTAATAAAAGTTGAGAAATTCTTATTTCTCATCAATGCATGAATTGTTTAATGAAATTTGTGAAAATTTTTTGAAGCGAAAAATTAGTAATCAGTGAAATTTTAGAGGAAAAGAATTTAAAAAAAAAAAAAGTTATTGATATAATATCTAATAAATTATCATTATTTTGAAGAAAAAATTTTTCAATCTTAGATATAAAATAAAAAATTCATGCACTGATTCTAATGAATTTTATCATCAATTAACTGATGAAAGCTAATAAATATTTTTTTATCATTTTTATCTTTAATAGTAAATTGATAATTTTAATGAGTAATACTTCTAAATCAGTTAATTGATAAGAAAATTCATTAGAATATGATTTTTTTTTTTTTTTTTGTTTCTTCTGTTGAAAGAAATGTAAAAAAGTAAAATTGAAAAATGAAATTTTTTATGTTAGAAAAATTTAATTAGTTTAAATTTTACAATTATACTGATAATTTATTATTATTATTATCAATTTTAGCTTTAATTAATTTTAGATGGAGGAGGAGCGGGCAAAAAGAAGGGTAAATCCGGTTCATTCATGACCGTTTCTATGTTATATCGTGAATCATTGAATAATCTAATGACAATGTTGAATATGACACATCCGCATTTTATTCGGTGTATTATTCCGAATGAAAAGAAGCAATCCGGTTTACTGGATGCGGCATTAGTATTAAATCAGCTTACATGTAATGGTGTATTGGAAGGTATTCGTATCTGTCGTAAAGGTTTCCCTAACAGGTATTTTTAATTATTTCATTTTAATAATTTAAAAAAAAAAAAAAAAAAAATTGGTTTTAGTTGAAAAAATATCTCTTTTTAATATAAAAAATTTTAATTCTGCACAATTTGAAGATATATTTTAATGAAATTTTAATAAGAATAAAATTTATTAAAATTTCAAAAATGCAAAAATTAATCTTTCTATTAATACTAAAATAGCCAAATTAAAAAAAAAAAAAAAAAAAAAAAAAAGAAAGAAAATACTAAACTTTTAATGATTATTTTAAAAATATAATAGCTATTATTGCTCTAAATAAATCATTTTTTCTTTTTTTTTTTGTTAGTTTAATAAAAAATTTTTTTAAAATAATCAAATTTATTTTTTTAACTTTTAATAATTACTATTATTCTTTTGTTTTATTTTTAGAACATTACATAAGGATTTCAAGCAACGCTACTCAATACTTGCTGCAAATGAATCGATCAGTAGCACAGATATGAGAAAATGTGCTGAAGCAATGCTAAGTAAAATTGTTAAAGAAAATATATTAACGGAAGAAAATTTTCGAATTGGTGAAACAAAAGTTTTCTTTAAAGCAGGTGTATTAGCACATTTGGAAGATGTTCGTGATGAAGCATTGAAAACATTGCTAACAAAATTACAATCACAAATTAAATGGTATCTTGGCTTAACTGATAAAAAACGACGTATTCAACAAAAAGCTGGCTTATTAATACTACAACGTAATGTTCGTGCGTGGTGTTCATTACGTACGTGGGAATGGTTTAAATTATACACCAAAGTACGACCAATGTTAAAAGAAGGTAAAATAGCCGAAGAATTGGAAAAATTACAGGAGAAATTAAAATCACTTGAGGAGACATTACAAAAGGAGGAAAATTTACGAAAAAATTTGGATGATAGTGCAAAAAAAATGGAAACCGAAAAAGCGGAATTATTTGAAAAATTAGAAGCTGTAAAAAATAATCTTACAAAATCTGAAGGTAATCTATCACAAATGGAATCAGCAAAATCAGATGCTGATAAAAAACTTGAGGTAAAAATTTTACTTTTTAGTTTAATCGTTTTTTTTTTTTTTTTGAATTTAATGTAAAATATTTTTTGTAGTTTAATTTAAGCATTTTTGTAATTTAAAATGAATTTTTGGATGAAAAATTTTTTGTAGTTTAATTTAAGCATTTTTGTAATTTAAAATGAATTTTTGGGTGGAAATTTTTAGGATGAATTAATAATTAAGGAAAGCTTTTTTTTTTTTTTTCTTTCTGTAAAATATAATTGAGTTGCGAAATTTTATAAAAAAAAAATTTTACTTTTACTTTCTTTTTTTAATATTTTACTTTACTTTACTTTACTTTGCTTTCTTCTTCTCTTTTCAGGAGTTAAATGAGCAACTTGCTGATGTTGAAGATCAAAATACAGAAATTCAACGATCAAAAAAGAAGGTTGAAGGTGAAATTGATGCATTAAAAAAGCAAATTCAAGATTTAGAAATGAGTGCACGTAAAGCAGAAATGGAAAAGCAATCAAAAGATCATCAAATTCGTTCACTTCAAGATGAATTACAACAACAAGCAGAATCGGTGGCAAAATTAAACAAAGAAATTCGACATCAGGAAGAATTAAATAAGAAAATTACGGAAGATTTACAAGGTGAAGAAGATAAAACAAATCATGCAAATAAGATTAAAAGTAAATTAGAGCAAACGTTAAATGATTTGGAGGATAATTTGGAACGTGAACGACGTGCAAAAGCAGATAGTGAAAAATCAAAGCGAAAACTTGAGGGTGAATTAAAAATTACACAAGAAAGTATTGATGAAGCAACACGTCAACGACGTGACTTAGAAAATAATATGAAACGAAAAGAAGCCGAATTAAATGCATTAAGTAGTCGATTGGAAGATGAACAAGCAACAATTAGCAAATTGCAACGACAAATTAAAGAATTGCAAAGTCGTGCAGCTGAATTGGAAGATGAAGTGCAAAATGAACGACAATCACGATCAAAGACTGATAAGGCACGTTCAGATATACAGCATGAATTAGAGGAGTTGAATGATCGACTAGATGAGCAAGGTGGTGCAACTGCAGCACAAATTGAAATTAATAAGAAACGTGAAGCTGAATTAGCTAAATTAAGACGTGATATTGAGGAGGCAAATATGAATCATGAAAGTCAACTAGCAGCATTACGTAAAAAGCATACAGATGCTGTAGCTGAACTAACCGATCAATTAGATCAAATTCAAAAACAAAAGCAAAAATTGGAAAAAGATAAAATGCAATATGTGCGTAATACGGAAGATTTAGCTGCACAATTAGATGGTGAAAGTGCTGCTAAAGTAAGCAATGAAAAATTAGTAAAACAATTTGAATTACAATTAAATGATTTACAAGCACGTGCAGATGAGCAATCACGTCAATTGCATGATTATAGTTCAGTACGTAATCGTCTTGGAAATGAGAATAGTGATATGATAAGACAATTAGAAGATGCAGAAGAGCAAATTTCAACATTACAACGATTTAAAGGACAATTAACACAACAAATTGAGGATATACGTTCAGCAACTGATGAAGAAATACGTGAACGGCAAGTGCTTGCAGCGCAAGTGAAAAATTTACAAATTGAAGCGGAACAAGCACATAATAATTTAGAGGAAGAAATTGAATCAAAGAATGAAGTTGCAAGACAATTAAGTAAAGCAAATGGTGAAATACAGCAATGGCAATCACGTTTTGAGCAAGATGGTATGCTTCAAACTACTGAACTTGAAGAAGTACGTCGTAAACAAGGTATTAAAATTAATGAATTACAAGAAGCACTTGAACAAGCTAATCAAAAAATTATAACATTGGAAAAAGCACGATCACGTTTACTTGGTGATCTTGATGATGCGCAAGTTGACGTAGAACGAGCAAATGCTACAGCAAGTCAGCTAGAGAAGAAGCAGAAAGGTTTTGATGCTGTAAGTTTTCCATTTTATTCTTTTTCAAATTATGATCGATTAAAATTTAATTTTGAAATTGTTACTGAAAGTTAAATATTTTCAATTAGCTGATTACTGATTGATTGAAATTGAAATTGTATTGAAATATGAAACAATAATGCATCTATTGATTGATAACTTTTTTGTTTAATTAGAATTACACTTAAGGAAATATATAGATCTGTTCGAATTAAACATATCGATTCTTATCAGTTTAATCTCTGATATGTGATCAATTGATCACTTCGAGATTATCCTGCTTAAAAGGATTTGAAAGGGGCTTGTTTCTCACCTATCACGGGTTGATCCGGTATTGTATTTACCCATGGGAACAGTCCATGTACCCTTCTAGGGATAGGCTTTGTCCATACTACATTTTACACTTATAATTCTATGAATTTCATTTTTTTGTTCACTCCTAATTTTAACTGAAATCATCTAGTTTAGCTTATCAACAAATCAAGCTTATCAGTAAGTTTAGATAAAAAGCAGGAAGAGAATGCTTATATTGTAATATAATATTAAGTTAGCTTCAAATATATAATTTTTATAGCAAAAAAAAAAATTTTTTTTAAAAATTAAATATTTAATTTTAGCTTGTTGATGAATGGAAAAAGAAAGCTGATGATATGTCAGCAGAGCTTGATTCTGTTCAACGTGAAGTACGTAATCTGTCAACGGATTTATTCAAAATGAAGACAACATATGAGGAATACTCTGATACAGCTGAAGGACTTCGTCATGAAAATAAAGCTTTAAGCAATGAAATTAAAGATTTAACTGATCAGCTTGGTGAAGGTGGTCGTTCACAACATGAAATGCAAAAAATGATTCGACGATTGGAAATTGAAAAAGAAGAATTACAACATGCACTTGATGAAGCAGAAGGTAAATTCAAAGATTATTTATTTATTTAAAAAAAACAAAAAAAAACAAAAAAAGGATTTATAAAAAGTTATTATCAAATGCATATGGTTATTATTATTATTTTTCAAAAAATTGATGCGTGAATTATTTAGAAAAGAATAATGGAATTAAGGAATGTAATGTTATATAAATTTATTGTAAAATATATATAATTGTTTTTTTATGATTTTTTTTTTTGAGGCAATGTATGAATTATTTATAAAAAAAAATAAATAATCATTATTACTACTATTATCATTATTATTACTATTGTTATCATTATTACTGGTATTATTACCATCATCATTATTAATAGTATTACTACCATCAATATTATCACTATTATCATCATTATTAATAGTATTACTGTCATCAATATTATCACTATTATTACTATTATTATTACCAGTATTATTACTATTAATAGTATTATTACCATTATTATTATTATTACTATTAATAATCGCCGTTATTGCTGTCAATATTAATACTACATTACCGTTATTATTATTAATATTTTTGTTTTTATTATCATTGCTATTATTATCATTGTTATTGTTATTTTGTAGGAGCATTAGAAGCAGAAGAAAGTAAAGTAATGCGTGCACAAGTGGAAGTGTCACAAATACGTTCTGAAATTGAGAAGCGAATACAAGAGAAGGAAGAAGATTTTGAAAATACTCGACGAAATCATCAACGTGCATTAGAATCGATGCAAGCATCACTAGAAGCTGAATCAAAGAGTAAAAATGAACTTTTACGTGTAAAGAAGAAGCTTGAATCAGATATTAATGAACTTGAAATTGCACTTGATCATGCTAATAAAGCAAATGCTGATGCACAAAAGAATTTGAAACGATGCACAGAGCAAATTCGTGAAATTCAATTACAGGTTTGTTTAATTTTAATCTTTAAAAAAAAAAAATATTAGATGGAGCAAATATATAATTGTTAAACTAACAATAAAAGTTATTATCATTTAATTAATTACAATTTCATTCTAATTAAAATATCAAATAATATTATTAGCTATCATTTTATTAATGATAAAACTTTTGTGAAATGATTTTATAATTGCACTACTTTTAATAATAAAATTCCAAAGATTTTTTTTTATTTTTTAAAGAAAATAAAAAAAATTTAGACATTTTCATTTTTTTTTTTTTTTTTACAGCAGTAAATTAGAATTTAAAAAAAAAAAGAATTAAAATTTAATTTAATATTAGTAATTTTGATTGATAGATCGAAGAAGAACAACGACAACGTGATGAGATGAAGCAGCATTATTATACAGCGGAAAAACGTGCACAAATTTTGGAAGCTGAAAAAGATGAAATTAGCCAAGCGCTAGAACAAGCGGAACGAGCACGTAAACAAGCAGAATTAGACGCAAGTGAAAGCCGTGATCAAGCTAATGAATTAAATATGCAAGTTAGCAATCTTGGTGCAGCAAAGAGGAAAGCTGAAGGAGAACTACAGGTAAATTATTCATTGCCAGGTATAATTTTATACAATTAATTAAATAATTAATTAGTTGAATAGCTTAATGTTAATCATTAATTACTTTTTGTTAATTCTAAAATTTATACTTAAGAAAGTTCGATTGCAAAAAAAAAAAAAAAAAAAAGGAAAAAAGTTCAATTTTTGTAAATGAATTATTTGCAATTAATTAATTAGCTAGATGGTTTAATAATTAATCATTTAATTATTTTTATTAATTCTAAAATTTATATTTAAGAAAATCCTTTAAAATTCAATTGCAAAAAAAAAGAAGAAAAAATTGTGATCAAAATTTTTTTTTTCAATTTTTTGTAAATGAATGGTAGTAATGTCTACAGGATTGAGAAAAAAAAATGAGTAAAATTAAAAGATTTTTTCTTTTTTTTTTTTTTTTTAAATTTTGATTTTTAAATTGAAAAAGTTTTATTTTTAGGCTATTCATGCAGACATGGATGAAACATTGAATGAATTTCGAGCATCAGAAGAACGAAGTAAAAGAGCAATCGGTGATGTTGAAAGGCTTGCAGAAGAATATCGACAAGAGCAGGAACATGGCTTACATATTGATAGGATGAGAAAAGGCCTTGAGGCACAAATTAAAGATATGCAGGTAAGCCTTACCTTTCCTTTTCTCTCTCTCTCTCTCTTAAAATGTTTCTGAATGAAAAAGAAAAGTTCATTAAAATTTAAATTGTTTTATTGTTTTTCATAGCGTTTAAATTTCTTCTCTCTCTCTCTCTTAAAATGTGGTAACTTACCTTTCCTTTTCTCTCTCTCTCTCTTAAAATGTGGTAACTTACCTTTCCCTTTCTCTCTCTCTCTTAAAATGTGGTAACTTACCTTTCCTTTTCTCTCTCTCTCTCCTAAAATGTGGTAACTTACCTTTCCTTTTCTCTCTCTCTCTCTTAAAATGTGGTAACTTACCTTTCCTTTTTTCCCTCTCTCTTAAAATGTGGTAACTTACCTTTCCTTTTCTCTCTCTCTCTTAAAATGTGGTAACTTACTTTTCCTTTTCTCTCTCTCTCTCTTAAAATGTTTCGGAATAAAAAAAAAAAAAAAAAAATTGATTAAAATTTAAATTGTTTCATTGTTTTTCATAGCGTTTAAAATTTAACTTCCATTTTTGATTCAATTTTTTTTTTTTTTTATTTTAGAAACAGTTCATACATATTTTTCTTTTTTCTTCTCAAAATGTTTCGAAAAAAAAAAATCCGAGTGAAATTTAAATTATTGATAAATAAAGCTAACTGTGTTTATTTATTTTTTTCAAAAACTTTTTTTTTTTTTTGTAATTAATTAATATGAATTAATTTAATCTAAAAATATTTTAAATAATACAAATTTTGTATGATAACTATTATAAATTGATAAAGATGATTTAGCATAATCACCTGTATTCCCATATTTATATTATTATCATCTTTTTTCTTATATTATTTTTGCAATCAAAAATTTTTTAAAATTAAAATTATATTAAAATGTTAACAATCAACTCATATTAAAATTTCAAAAATTAATTCATATAAAAATTTAAAAAATCAATTCATATCAAGAATCAATTCAAATTAAAATTTCAACAATTTACTCATACTAAAATTGAAAGAAAAACAAAAAAAAAACAAAACAAAACAAAGCAAAACAACCCATATCAAATTTTAACAATCAATTTCTTATTAAAATTCTAAAAACTAATTAATATTAAAACTTTAAAAATTAGTTTATAATATGCTCATAATAAAATTTTAAGTAAAAAATTTTCAATTAATTCATATTAAAAAAAAAATTGTTTTTTTAGGCGCAATTAGAAGAAGCAGAACAAGCAGCACTAAAAGGTGGTAAAAAAGTGATTGCTAAATTAGAACAACGTATTCATGATCTCGAAGCTGAACTTGATGGTGAACAACATCGTTATCAGGAAGCAAATAAAAATGTTGCTAAATCAGAGAGGCGAGTACGTGAATTACAATTTCAAGTGGATGAAGATAAGAAAAATTATGAACGATTGCAAGATCTTGTTGATAAACTTCAAAGTAAAATTAAAACACAAAAGAAGCAATTGGAAGATGCTGTAAGTTTTATTTATTTTATTTTAAATATTTAATTTAAATTTGTAATTGAATTGTGTATAGAAATAAGAAAAATTGAAAGGAATAAATAAAAATTGTAAATTTCTTTTCTTTTTCTTTTTTAGTAATAAATTTATTAGTTTAAATAAATATTTTATAAATTTAAAAGAAAAAGAAACAACGCTAAAGTAATTTAAATATATTTTAAGTTTCCTAATTGATGTTTACATGTAGTATTTAAATTTTGATAAATTAGAAATTAAATTATTCATTAATGGGGAATAATTAGCATTCCTAGCAATAATTGATGTTTATATATATATTTACAAATCAATCATGTATTACTACTATTCAACTGATAATATTTACTGATAAGAAATGAATCATCCAACAAAAGTGTAAAAGGTTAGGTAATAGAGAAATGTCCGAACATTCATTTCTAATACTTAATAAAAAATAAAATTCTCATTTAAATAATAAATATTGCTGGGAAAAATTCTTTACTTTATCCTTATCAATTATCATTTATCATTTACTTATTGTAATCATAAATCGCTTTAATATGAGCAAATATGTTAGCATTTCACGTTTAATCTTTAATGATAAGGATCAAATGGTCTAAGTTTACTGATCAAATTAATAAACTGATATGAGGTGAATTAATTGATAATAAATTGAAATGATATGAATTGATTAATTCAATCATATAACAATTTCCCTATATATATATAAGTTTCTACGTTATATCTGCGTAGTAATTAAATTATTTCACGTGATAGAACCACGTGAAATACGCAATTTTCATCGAACGTTTCTCCTTTTGCCTTTTAAGATACTTTCACATAAATAAATACAATTAAATTAATAAGTTGAAATGATATGAATACACTGATCAGATTAATAAATTTGAAGTTACGTGAATTAATAATAATTGATTAAATTAATAATAATTAAATAATTGATTAAATTAATAATAATTAAATAATTGATTAAATTAATAAGTTAAAATAATATGAATTGATTAATTTATCATTTACAGGAAGAGCTTGCAAATACAAATTTGCAAAAATATCGACAAATTCAGCATCAATTGGAAGATGCTGAAGAGCGTGCTGATAATGCGGAAAATTCCGTCACAAAAATGCGCTCAATGAGCCGGACAACAATGTCAGTTGGACCGGGTACCGGTTTGCAAGCAACTCGTTCCGCTACCGTACTCCGTTCACCATCTCGTAATCGTATTTCCGACTATTAGAAATTAAATTAATTTTTTTTTTTTCTTTCAGAAAAAAAAGAAAAGAAAAAAAAAAGAAAAAACGCGAAAATATTTTTTTTATTATTATTAAATTCATTTTATTTTAATTATTTGTATGCATATAGTTCTCTACTTGAAATGATCACATTTCTTCCTCCTAAATATATTACTATCGCATAATGTTTGTTTTTTTTTTTTTTTTTCATTTTTCTTTTAACGATGCGACAAAATAGAATTATTGAAAGAATAAAAAAAAAAAATGAAGTATTATCTATCTGTGCAAGCATAATAATTGTTTTACTGATAACTAATGATATGATATGATAATGTAACCAGTTAATATACATATCATTTATTTAAAAAATATTCGAGATATACACTTGGTTAATTTTTCTCGATTGTTAAAATAAAGAAACAAGAAAAAAAAATGATTACAAAAAAAAAAAGCATAACTAAATTTTGAATGAAACAAACTTTTTCTTTTTTTTTTTTTCAATTGTTTTTTTTTTTTATTAATCCCAATCATAGTAATACAATAATAATAATAATAGTAATAATGACAATAACGGTGATAATGATAATGATTATATAGTAATAATAATAGATGTAATACAAGTATTAATTTGTTTACAGTATTGACACAAATAAAAAAATAAAAATAAAAACAAATTTGTAAATAAGAAAAGATAACAAAATGATAGGAAAAATTATTAATTAAAATCTATTTTATTAATTTTACTCAGTCCTTGAACGTTTCTGTTCAACAACCAATGATAGCGGTGAATGTGGTGACGAAGCTTTTCCGGATGTAGCATCACTTAAACCACTTGGACTACAACAATCTACCGGTGAAGTTATCTGAAAAAAAACTGTAAAAATTAAATTAACAAAAAAGGAAAAACGGAAAAAAAAATTTATTAATAAATCATTTATTAATGTAATAAAAAAGTATTATTTTTATTACTAATTTATAATTCATTTATTTAATTTATTTCTCTTTTTGCTATTTGTTTATTAGTCATTGTATTATTAATTACATAAATGATAATTAATCATTTTAAATTAACTATTATTATTATTATTTAATAGCATAAATGATAATTAATCATTTTAAATTAACTATTATTATTATTATTTAATTACATAAATGATAAATAATCATTTTAAATTAACTGTTATTATTATTTAATTACATAAATGATAAATAATCATTTTAAATTAACTATTATTATTATTATTTAATAGCATAAATGATAATTAATCATTTTAAATTAACTATTATTATTTAATTATTATTATTAATTATAATACTTACCGAAAGTGGTAGTACGCCAGTTTGTGCGCGTAATTTTAAGAAGCAATTATGACATCGAGGATGATCAAAACTACTACTGATAATCAAATATTCATGATGACGCTAAAAAAAAAAAAAAAAAAAAAAAAAACGAAACAAATATTTCAAATTTAACCAATTTTTTTTTTTTTTCAAATAGTTTAATTAATAAAAAAAAGTTGAAATATTCTATTAAAAATATTATTCACAAATTTTTTTTTTTTTTTTTATTAATTACAGATGAATAAAGTAAAAGATTTAAATTTAACTTCGATGTTTTAAATGATAAATTTTGAAAAATAAACTAAAATTCATTAATAAAAAAGAAAAAAGTACAATGGACAGAAATAATTTAAAAAAAAAAAAAAAAAAATTGAACATTAGCAAGGTGAAATGCTTTAAAATTAATTAAAAAAGAAAACAATGAAATGGAAACTTTTTTGAATTTACAAAAACAAATTTTTTAATTCCAAAATTTCAATCATTCTAAACAATTTAAGCTTTTTTCTTCTTTAGGAATTTGACTGCATCAGTTATTATTATTAATTACTAAGAATAGTAATTTAAATTTAAATTAAAAAAAAAAAAAAAAAAAAAACTTGACAAAGATAATTTTCTTGCACTGCAAAATATTTTTTTTAAAAAAAAAATAAAATAAAATAAATTACAAAACATTAAAAAGTAAAATTTGCTAAAAAATAAAAAAAAAAATGCAATATTTATTTTTTTTAATAAATGCAAATCAATTTTATTTAATAATAATAAATGAATTTTTCATAAGATAATTTTATTTCACATATTGTTTTAGTATTAATTTTATAACAAAATTATTGCTATCAATTTTTTATTGTAAATTATTGAATTTATTCAAATAAATGTTTAAGATCAAGAATTAAAAATAAAAAAAAAAAAGAAAAGAAAAGAAAAATGAAATAAAATAGATATTAGCTTATGTAATATTGGTGTAAAATTTATGACTAAATTTATTCAAAGTAAATAGAAATAAACAAACAAAAAAGAAAACTCAAATAATATCAAATATAAACAAAATTTTAGTATTACTTTTAATTATTTATACAGTATTACTAAATTATTATTTGTATACATTCTTTGATTTTTCCTTTTTGCTTTTTATTGCTATTTTATAACTTTTTTTTTTTTGTTACAAAAGTTTAGAAACTTACTTTTCTTTCATATTTTACTGAACAAAAATAAAAAAAAAAAAAGAAATTATTTAATGAAACAATCATTTTTTCTATAATTTTATAAATACTATCAAAAAATATCGATTCCACTAGTTAAAATTTAAGTTTTTTTTTTTTTTAAATTCATTAATTTGCTGAATGAAAACAAAATAAACAAATTATTAAAAATTTACTAATTTGAAAGAAATAAAAATTATTATAAATTGAAATCGATATTAAAATTGACTTCCGTATTTCGAGTAAATTATTTGTATTCATTTTAATAAAATGGTAATCGTTTATATATATATTTAAGAAATATCGATTTCAATAATTAAAATTTAAATAATCAAAAAGTGTGATTGTTAAATTTATTAATTTTACACACACAAAAAAAAAAAACATATTTTATTAGATGGAAAAAAATATTTTTTACAATTTTTTTTTTTATATAATATAAATAAATATTAGCCCCAATAATTAAAAGTAACTTCTAAACAATTAAAAAGTTTTTTTTTTTTTTTTTTTGAATTTATAAATTAACAAAAAAAAAAAAAAAAAGAGCAAAATAAATAAACGAATTATTCAAATACAATAAGAAAATTGAAGTCGAGAATGAAAATAAATTTCGTATTTCAACTAAATTATTTTAAAAACATAAGAAAAAAAAAAAAAAAGCAAATTACCTCACAAAATCGACAGAAATTACTATTTCCCGAGATTTCTCGAGATTCCTCACATTCATCCTTTTTTACATTTCCATCAATTACTGTCTGTGACATTATCATCGGATATGTTACATTGCTATTTGTTGGATGATTTAATTGACTACTCGAATCATCACGATATCCACGATTTTTTACTTTAAAAAAAATAAAACTTTTTTTTTTTTCAAAAATATAATTTTAAAATTTAATAATTTTCGTTTTAGATTATTACTATAAAATATGAGTATATTTAATCATATATATATATTGCAAAAATATTACTTTTTTATCATATAATAAACTGAAAAAAAAATTTTTTTTTTTTCAAATAATTATATAAAAAAATTTTTTTTTTTAAAATTTTAAATCATACATCCAAGCCTTTTTTGTTGATTAGATCGAATACGCAATAATTCATATTCACGTTTTCGTCGACATTGCTCAGATATTGGTGATTGTAATAAATTATCAGTTGATGCTTTATAATCTTTTAAACTAAAATTTTGATAAATTTAAAATTTCACACATAAATAAATGTAAAGTTTGAATTTGAGTAAACTTTAAAAAAAAAAAAAAAAAACGAAATTAAATGAAATAAAATAAAAGATAAACTTTCTTACTTAGCAATATTTTTGATAAGTTTTGATTTTTCTAATTCGATATGCTCAATCCAATTGTGCTCAGATGCCAATTTTTCATCACAAAGCATGCAAATTGGATTACCATCTTCATCAGTTTGCAATTCTAAATGATAAGTAATGATAATAATAATTTGTTATCATTGTCATAAAGTAAGATTAAGTTTATCATTGATAATAATCATGAAGTAATCATTAACAATCAAATAATCAATAATAATAATTAACAATAACAATCTTTTATCACTGAGTAAATAATAATAGTAATACTCTTTTTAAAAATTACTGTTGCAATTAATAGTTAGATAACTCTGAAGCTCATGTGATAGTTCAACTGATAATGATAACAATATATCAGCACCACTATAATTATCATAATTCTCCTCATAATCATCCTTATCACCTTTCATATAAGTCTTAAAATATTATTTTTAAAGTATACGTCTTGAATAGAAACCATAATAAAGCAAGTGACGATGAGCATTTATAATAATTTCAGTGATAACAGATAAAGTGATAATCAACTATTATCATTTATCATTAGGTTACTATTTTTTTTTATCAATTAGTTATTAACGATTAAATTGATGAAATGTGACATAACTGATAAACAGATAACATTAACTGATAATTATTACAATTCTAGTGAAAACATAAAATTTTCACCAAAATGTGTTAATTTTTTTTCATTTTGAACACCGTAAAAGACTAATAAACATCATCAAATCATAAAAAAAATCAAAAAATCAAATTTTTTAAATTTTTTCAATAAAGTTAATAAGAAGTTAGCATATTGACGTACGTGTTAACGCTAAATGACGAACATTTTTCACTTTTTTAACTAACAAATTATCTTCTCAGTTAACACCAAAATTCACATATTGACGTACGTGTTAACGCTAAATGACGAACATTTTTCACTTTTTTAACTAACAAATTATCTTCTCAGTTAACACCAAAATTCACATATTGACGTACGTGTTAACGCTAAATGACGAACATTTTTCACTTTTTTAACTAACAAATTATCTTCTCAGTTAACACCAAAATTCACATATTGACGTACGTGTTAACGATAAATGACGAACATTTTTCACTTTTTTAACTAACAAATTATCTTCTCAGTTAACACCAAAATTCACATATTGACGTACGTGTTAACGCTAATTCTTCACTTTTTTAGCCAATAAATTATTATCCCCCAAAATAAACAATAAACAAATTGATTTTGCGCATAATAAATATGCATTTGCGCCTAATCAATCATAAAAATGACACCAAAAAAATAAGTAATCCTTCCATTAAAAGTAATCTGTTATGTATGTATGTATGTTTGTATGTGTGTATGTTTGTATGTATGTATGTTTGTATGTATGTATGTTTGTATGTGTGTATGTTTGTATGTGTGTATGTTTGTATGTGTGTATGTGTGTGTGTGTGTATGTATGTATGTTTGTATGTATGTATGTGTGTGTATGTTTGTATGTTTGTACACAGTAATCTAATACGAAAAGATTTACAATGGCCATATGAGATCGATGAGTTATATATATTTGCCCGTATGTTAATTTTTACGATTTCCAAATTGGCGACAAAATCATTAATTACCATTTTTTGAGGTTAATTTATTTTCTTATACATAAAGTATATTTTATAAAGAATTTTTTCTTTAATTATTAAATTTAACTTTGAAAGTAAAAATTAAAAATTAATATTTCAATTATTGATTCTACTTAATATAAAAAAAAAAAAATTGTACATTTTTCTAGTTAATATATTTTAATTATAAAATAAACATTTTTAAGATAAAAAATTTTTACAAAAAAAAAAAAAAAAAGATTATATAAATTATGAAAAAGGAAAATTTGATAAAAAAGCAACTTGAAAAATTTTTCTAATATGCATAATTAGAAATTAAAAATAATTAATTAAATATAAAATTGATTAAACAATTTTAACTAATATGCATTAAATTGGAAAATTCATTATGTTAAATTGTGTTAAAAATTTTCCCTATGCATATAAAAAAATAATTAACAAATTTTTTAATTAGAATTAAAGAAAAAAAAAATGGATTTCGAATATTTTATTTCTTTCTTCTTTTCTTGCTAATTAATTAATTTTGAAATCAATTTTTTTTTTTTTGTTTGTCTCAAACTACCAAAATTTTGTTGTTATTTACAAAAAGTGAAATATCATTTAATAAAATATTGCTTTTAAGTAAAGTAGTATTTAACGAAATGATTACTTTTAAGTAAAGCAGTATTTAACAGAATGACTACTTTTAATTTTTAAGTAAAGTAGTATTTAACCAAATGATTACTTTTAAGTAAAGTAGTGCTTAACAAAATGATTACTTTTAATTTTTAATTAAAGTAGTATTTAACAGAATGATTACTTTTAAGTAAAGCAGTATTTAACAAAATAATTACTTTTAATTTTTAAGTAAAGTAGTATTTAACAGAATGATTACTTTTAAGTAAAGCAGTATTTAACAAAATGATTACTTTTAATTTTTAAGTAAAGTAGTATTTAACGAAATGATTACTTTTAAGTAAAGTAGTGCTTAACAAAATGATTACTTTTAATTTTTAATTAAAGTAGTATTTAACAGAATGATTACTTTTAAGTAAAGTAGTATTTAACAGAATGATTACTTTTAATTTTTAAGTAAAGTAGTATTTAACAGAATGATTACTTTTAATTTTTAAGTAAAGTAGTATTTAACAGGATGATTACTTTTAATTTTTAAGTAAAGTAGTATTTAACCCAATGATTACTTTTAAGTAAAGTAGTGCTTAACAAAATGATTACTTTTATTTTCTTCCTCGTTCCTCTTTTAATGGAAATGGATTGTAATTTTTAAAATATCCCGAGAGAAAGATGTTGGAGAAGAAGGAATTGCTTAATTTGCATTTTTGTACCATTTAAATAGATAGGTGTGCTACAGGTGAGTAATAGGAATGAAATATTTGATGGGAGAGAGAGAGAGAGAGAGAGAGGGGAAAAGAAAAAAAATGGAATGAAAAAAAGAGAGAGAATCAATTATGAGCAAATAATTCGAAAAGAGATGAATAGGTACCATTCGGTTCATCAAATTCTTTCAAAAATCTAACAAAAATATTTGGCCTAATTTTTTTTTTAGACAAATGTTATTCAAATAAATGCAAAATCATATACAATTCTTATTGTTTCACATCTATTTGATATTTAAATTTAATAATCAAATAAATTGCTATTCAAATAAATGCAAAATTATATACAATTCTTATTGTTTCACATCTATTTGATATTTAAATTTAGTAGTCAAACAAATTGCTATTCAAATAAATGCAAAATTATATACAATTCTTATTGTTTCACATCTATTTGATATTTAAATTTAATAATCAAACAAATTGCTATTCAAATAAATGCAAAATTATATACAATTCTTATTGTTTCACATCTATTTGATATTTAAATTTAATAATCAAACAAATTGCTATTCAAATAAATGCAAAATTATATACAATTCTTATTGTTTCACATCTATTTGATATTTAAATTTAGTAGTCAAACAAATTGCTATTCAAATAAATGCAAAATTATATACAATTCTTATTGTTTCACATCTATTTGATATTTAAATTTAATAATCAAACAAATTGCTATTCAAATAAATGCAAAATTATATACAATTCTTATTGTTTCACATCTATTTGATATTTAAATTTAATAATCAAACAAATTGCTATTCAAATAAATGCAAAATTATATACAATTCTTATTGTTTCACATCTATTTGATATTTAAATTTAATAATCAAATAAATTGCTATTCAAATAAATGCAAAATTATATACAATTCTTATTGTTTCACATCTATTTGATATTTAAATTTAATAATCAAATAAATTGCTATTCAAATAAATGCAAAATTATATACAATTCTTATTGTTTCACATCTATTTGATATTTAAATTTAATAATCAAACAAATTGCTATTCAAATAAATGCAAAATTATATACAATTCTTATTGTTTCACATCTATTTGGTATTTAAATTTAATAATCAAATAAACTGTTATCCAAATAAGTGCAAAATTATATATTATTGTTACTGTTTCACACATATCTATCATTAATCGTATTTTTTTTTTTTGATTTCTAAAAATTTAAACAAAAAAAGCAAATTAGACCGCAATTAATATTTCCAATTATCCATTTAAATTTATACTAATAGCAAAAACTGTAGATGCATTTATCATCATTAAATAAAATCACAATAATAATTTTAAAAAATTGATTTAAAAATTCCGTAATATTAATTTCAAATATTTTTAATTTCTAAATATATATTTTAATTTAGAATTGCAATTAATTTATAAATGTATAAATTAAATAATCCAATCTTTTTTTTTTTTCGTTTTTTCGTGATAATTTTATTTAAACCTAAATTAGTTGCAAAATTACAATTAAAATTACATGCATAAATTGAAGAACTCAATTTGATGAATTTATTTAAATTTAAATTATCTTACTTTATATATATTTCAAGATGAAATTAAAACAATTATTCCAAAGTAAATAATATTTTATTGTCTTATTTTCAAGATAAAACTGAAAAATTTTTATTAACAGAGATAAATTATATATGACTGATAATTCGGCGACATAAATAGTAAAATTTTTTTTTTTTTGTTTTGAAGTTTAATTCAATTAAATATTTAATAATTTTGTATTTGTTAATTTCTTTTTTTTTCTTACTTTTGACAGCATTAATACTTGCAAATTTGTTGTTTAAATTTTGAAAAAATTGTGAAAATTGATGAAAGAAGAGTCATAAAATGCTGTGACAATTGATGAGTGTGACCGGATGGATACTCCTGGGAAATTTACCCATAATTAAGATGAAAGTCTCTTCAAAAGACAATCATTTTAACTGATTTGATGGTATTTTTATGGGTAAATTGAAAAGGATAGGTTAGGAGAAAACGATGTGAAATTATATTATTTATTAAAAATATAAATTTTATCTGTTGAAGATAAATAAATAAATAGAAAGATAAAAATAAAAATTTCATATTAAAAATTATGAAATTTTTGTATAAAAATATTTTTTATCATTTAAAAATTTTCAACTATTATTAATTTTGAAAAAAATTTTTTTTTTAGCATAATTGAAGGAAATTTAATCAAAAGAAATTTTGACTCTTCTAAGAAATTTTAAAATTATATTTAAAATATCATATAATTTGCTTCAAATTTAAAATTTACAGAATTAGAAATGCATCAATTTTTTTTTTCTTTTTTTTTTTCAATTATGCAATTTCATTGATTAATAAATTAAAATTTGAATTATTTATAATTCCCTAAAATTTTTCCCATCATTTAACTTTTTTTTTTCTTATATTTTTAAATATATTTAA